CTTTCCTCTCTGGTTGATGTCAACCAGTCTGCGTTCATTCCGGGTCGGCTCATCACGGACAATGTCCTTCTCGTCCAGGAGCTCATGCGTGGCTACCATAAGCATCGGGGCCCTCCCCGCTGTGCCTTCAAGGTTGACATCCAAAAGGCTTATGATACTGTTGATTGGCATTTCCTCCGTACCGCTCTCTTCGGTTATAGCTTCCCCCTCCCCATGATAAACTGGATTATGACATGTGTTTCCACTGCATCGTACTCGGTCAGTATTAATGGAAACCTCCATGGCTATTTCAAGGGAGGATGTGGATTGAGACAGGGTGACCCTCTCTCCCCCTATCTTTTTACCCTGGTTATGGAGGTTCTCAACCTTATGACCAAAAGAAAAATTAGTGAGACGGGCATTTTTTCCTACCACCGGAATTGYGAGGAGTTGAAGATCACCCACCTGTGTTTTGCTGATGATCTCCTCATATTCTGCCATGGTGATAGTGACTCTGTCCGTGTCATAAAGGATTCCATTGACGAGTTCTCTGCTGTGTCTGGCCTTCTTCCCAATCCGGCCAAGAGCGAGGCTTTCTATTGCAATGTTGGCCCAAACACTAAGAGTGCTATTCAGTCGATCATTCGGTTCCCGGAAGGCTCTCTTCCTGTCCGTTACCTGGGTGTCCCCCTCATCACTACTCGCCTCTTTCATCAGGATTGCAAGGGTCTTGTGGACAAAGTGAAGTCCAAACTCCATGATTGGAAAAACAAGTCCCTCTCTTTTGCCGGTAGACTACAGCTCATTCTCTCTGTCTTGTCCTCCATGCAAATTTACTGGGCTTCGATCTTTATGCTTCCTATTTCCATTTCTAAAGAGATTAAGCAGCTTATGCGGGGTTTCTTGTGGTGCCATGGCGAGCTCAAAAGAGGGAAAGCGAAGGTCTCTTGGAAGACCGTCTGCCTCCCGAAAACTCAAGGTGGTCTTGGAATTAAGAGCCTGTCCACCTGGAACTGTGCCCTCATGGCCTCTCATACTTGGAGAATCCTTACCATCAAGGATTCTTTATGGGTTAAATGGATCCACTCCTACAGGCTTAAAGAGCGTAACTTCTGGGATGTCCCCATCCGAAGTGATGTTGGTTGGGGATGGAGAAAGATCCTTGGTATGAGGGAAAAGATTAGAGACTGCATTGTCTCCCAGATTGGTAATGGCGCTTCCACGTCCGCCTGGTACGACAACTGGCACCCGGTGGGTCCCCTCTACCGGCATTTATCTTCCCGCAGTATCATTAATTCTAATCTCCCTCTTTCTGCTCCTGTGAAGGATATCATCTCTCAGGGTTTTTGGAACTTCCCTCTCCTGAGGGAAAGTCTCAACCCTTTAATCCGCGATTCTCCTCTTCCTGTCCTTTCCTCTAATACCCCTGATAAACTCCTCTGGAGAACCAGGGATGGTCGGCTCACGCCGTTCTCTGTTCACGAGGTCTGGCTCTCCCTCTGTCCTAATGAGCCGGATGTCTCCTGGCATCACTTGGTCTGGTTTTCCCAAAATATTCCCAGACACGCGTTTATTCTGTGGGTTGCCCTCAAGCAGCGTCTCAAGACGCATGACAAGCTTCGGTTCTGGGAGGGCCACTCCAACCTGTCTTGTGCTTTCTGTAAAAACGGGCCTGATTCGCATTCTCATCTTTTCTTTGAATGCCAGTTTCCTAATCAGGTTTGGAATGGTTTAAAAGCCAAGCTTAACCTTTCTGGTGTCCCGGATAACTGGGCTGATATCATTGGTGTTTTCCAGCAAGCTACCAAAGGTCAGACCGTCTGGTCTATTATTCGCAGATTAGTACTAGCTGGAACTGTCTACCACCTGTGGCAGGAAAGGAATAGTCGCATCTTCAAAAATAAAAGAAGATCGTATATTATGGTGGTTAAGACGATTACCGACGATGTCCGATCCAGGCTCCTTAGCCTGACCCTCAAGCCCACTCCTAATGTTGCCCGGGCTCGTCTTGCCTGGAATCTTCCTTAGCTCTCTGTCTGTGTGTGCTGCTGTTTTTCTGGTCTTGTGAGCTCCGTTGCTCTCTCGGTTTCCTTGGTGCGGACTAGGGTGTGCCTTTTTTAGGCCCCTCCTCTTGCTCTTGTGGTGTTCCCCGTTGTTTCCCGGTCTTGCTTAGGCTGGGCCCTTCCCTTGTGGTCGGCTTCTCTTTCTTTCTCTTTCTCCCCCTCTTCTTCTCTCTTTTCGTCTCTTCCCCTTCCTCTGTTTTTCTTTTCTCTCCTTCTCTCCCCTCTCTTTTTCTTGTCCTCCTCTCTTCT